GAAATATTGTATTCTTAAATAAAATAGGACAAAATATTAATATTAAGAAAATATCACACTGAAAGAAAGCAATAAGGTGTATATTTAATTATAATTAATAAAATTTCTATATATTATGCTATTTTAGGTTAATTAAATTTATTCTTAAATTAATATTATTTTTAAAGAATATGAATAAAAAAAATGAAAATATATAAAAGAAATAGTTAGAGATTTTATTTCAAATATATAAATCATTATTATTATTTCTTATTTATATTTTATCCTATCCTTCTATTTTTCTAAGAAGTCCATTCAAAATTTTCTTTGCTTGTTGCTTTACGATTTTTTTATTTTTATTAATGATTTTTTAGTATTTAACCATAAATTTATTCACTTGGATGATTACAAAGCTCTTTAAATATTTTATCCTTCAATGTGTCTTCATTTTAAACTTACTGAATTGTGTTAATACCAACATTCATTATAAACTATCTTTTACTTTCTTATTCAATAGATTAAGGTTTAATTTATTTTGATTTTGATCTTAGATGCCCTTCTTACTAACGATGCAAATAGACAAGATCATTTTATTATTATATATGAGAAGGTGATTTTAAATTTGGAACTGAACCATATTATTATTTATGAATGTAATTTTATATTAGATTTTACTATGCTAAATATAATAATTATTATAAATACATTTCTAGTTTGAATTATTCTTTCTTTAATTATTATAAACTTATCCATAAACAATAGATTTACTAACAGGTATAGCATTTTGTTTTGGAGTTAATTCTCTATCTTCAAGACTTCCTCTTTCAGCTTCTTTTATAAATTTTTATATTTGAAAGCAACTCATATTATTATTTAATAATGAATAAGATTTTTCACTTATTTTTTCACAATCAGTTGTAGTTTTTTATTTCTCATTGTATTTATAAGAATATTTTTCAATTAATTACTTTTAAAGTGCTTTTTTTGAGCTAACTTATTCTAAAACACGAGAACTATTTTAATAAGAAATTTTATCATTTGGTGTTATATTATCCCTTCTCAAACTAAGTTTTTATTTCCAACTTTCAGGTGTATTTGCATTACTTCTGACAGGATTTGAATTGATTGATTCAAATTTATTAAACTGTTGTTGACTAATTGAAGATTAAAATTGTATTTAATTGATATTAGAGATAGGACTATTAATTTCCTCATTTTCAAACATATCAAAATATTATTAATTATTAGACAAATTAAATTCTAAATTTTATTAACTAGTCATCGTCTTTTAATTATATTCCATATTATCATTTTTTATTAACAAATTATAACACATTTTATTCATATATGTTAGAATTTAATTTTAATCAACATTTAGCTATTTTAAAGATAATTAATATTGACTATTAAATTATTGATATCTAATTTCATCTACTTTTTTTTAGTACTTTTGCATAATTTCATCAAAAGGTTTCATTTCCATTTTCTTAACTATATTATCGTGATTGGAGAAAATATCAATAGAAAATTACTTCAATTATTATATTAATAGTTTGATATTTTCTACTTATTCCTAAACTTGATTTTAATAGGTTGTATAATCATTTTATAATTTTTGCTAATATGTTTATCTTAACTAATTAGTTGTCTTTTGAACAACATAAAAAAATTCATCGCAATTTATATTCTACTCTTCCCATTAGTGTATTAAGTTATTCTTAATATCATTCATGTGAATTAATTTTTAATCACATTATTAAAGAGCTTAATGTAAATCCTTCTGAAAATTATTTATTTTATCTTTCCTTTATATTTCCAATTATGTCTCTTATGTTTCTTCTATTTTAAGACCTTATAAAGCTAAATTTAATGCACATTTTGAACAAAATAATTAATTACTATTTTGTTATACATAAAATTTTGCCTATTTTTTTAACAAACAAATTACTTTTTTATTTGGGTGTTTTAAACAATTATTGTTATCTTTATTAGCATGTTTTAATATGTTTGAATTTTACAACATTCTATCTTAATCAGTTTTTATGAAACTCATTTCATCTGAAATTGATAAATCTGAAGATGAAATTGATTAAGAACTCATTTCTATTCGTTAAAATAATTATTAATAAAATAAAGAAGAACTTAATATCTAATTATAAAATCAATTAAAATAGTTACCTAATGTATATATATATAAATTCATTTTGAATAAATAATAAAAGATAAATCAATCATTAAAAAAATATTAAACTAATAAAATTTTAAATAATTAAGATAAATAAAAGACTTTCCTAATATTAATAAATATGGAAATAATTTATTTTATAAAAAATCTACCACTCATATAATAATTTAATAACATTATTGATAAATAGTAAACATACAATATTTAATCAGAATTTCAATAGGCTTGAATCTATTTTAATTAATTAAATAAGAAGTAAATTATTTGTCTATTGATTAGACTCTTATAATATTATTTTAATAATTAAAAAATAATTAATTTAAAGAAAAGATGCCTTTGTATTAGTTTTATATACATTGTTATATTATTTATTAAAAAAGGAAGAACATTTTATAAGAAATACTATATTTTAATACCTTTGAATTTTAGATATTAAAAAAAAAGTTTTATAGTTCTAATTTTTAATAAAAATAAAGTTTAAATTGATAGATGAAACATTACTAAATTATATTTGAAGATGATGAAGAATAATTTCATAGAAAAACTGATTATCTAGAACCTGCTTATGGATTTTTATAATAATTGAAATAACTTAAGCAACGTTTAAAATCTTTATAACATAATAATTGTAATTAACTCATAGAAAATGGATAATAGTTACTAAAGAAAAAAATAAGAAAGAATAACAAAGTGTAAAAATCAGTTCTTGAGTTAAACTTGCATCTTAAAGGGTTGCTTTAATAATTTATAAATGAGTCAATTTAATAAGCAAATAAAGGGTTTGTCTTTAAACAATTATAAAATTGTCAAGAAATAAAATCGACAATAGATAAGATGGAAAGGATTTTAATTAGAATGAAATCAATACTATTGTCTTAAATGATAAATTTCTAAAAATAAGATTGATGTTAATTGTTAAAATTCTTTTTTTGAATTACATTATGATATTAATAAATATAGAAAATGTCGAAAGGTTTCAGTCTGAATTTTAAAAATGCTAATGTAATGACTTTTGAATAAGAAAATGATTTATTTGCTGGTTAGAGTATCAAAGTAATATATAAATGAATAAGCTAGCTAAAATTTTAATTAGAGGAGAGTTAATATGATTTAGAGGTAAAACTTATAATTTCATAATAAGTTAGTTTAAGGTTGGATAAGATGTTGAATGGGCTAAGAAATGTGTTGCTGAAAAAATAGACTGTGGAAGAAATGATTTTGTATGGCAATCAGAATTAAAATAATTTAGGACCTGATTTTCGATGGGAAGATAATGCCAGAATTCTTTTCTTTAAATGATATCAAAAATTTAAAGGATTAATCAATCATTGAAATTAGAATGAAGAAGTGATTTAATAAATATAATGTATATACAATTATATGCAATTCCAGGGCAATTATTTTTGGGAATGTTTGCTCAATTCACTTATGATTGTGGAGTGCTCTATTTCTTATGCATCATGACAATACTAATTAGTCTATATGCATGTATGTACACAAGCAGCAGTCAATTATTTCCAAAATGTTTATGGATGATTATTCCATTTTAGATAGTATTAACTATTTTGAATTTTGATATGGTGAGTGTGGGAATCATTCCTTATTTAATACTTACAGATCTAATTAATAGTGATATCATTATAAGATTACCAAAGAAACCAATTCCTCCTCCAAGAAGATCATATAATGCTGAGATTGATAATCATCATAGTATTCATATACAAAATGTTATCAAATAAAATGCCTAGAGCCTCAAAAAATATGAATATTTTCATATTGGTTGTATAACTTTGTGTTATATAGCATTACCAAAATACAATTGTACAAGAATGTTAACTATTCAAAAGACACTCCATAATTGTTAAATACTGCTTTCTTATAATATTATTACAAATCAGATTATAATACAACTTTGTTCAAAACAATCATTTCATCAATCAAATTTATGTTATGTTCATTGACTTTAGACATAAGAGCAATGTTAACTGTAGCAATATTACCAAATTTCATAAATGAACAAAAGATTTATTCTTATAGTTTTCTGGCTGAATAATTTATTATCTCATATTTAGATTATGAATATGGAATCTATCATAATTTAATTATATTTTTAAGCTTTTATATTTTTGATTCATAAAATAAAAAGTACATCATATTTATTATTTAATTAGCACAAAATAGTTGACACTCTTTTATATTCCATTGTTAATATATGCATTTGAAACATAAACAGAAATTTATATTTATACATATATTGTTATAAGTTCAGTATATTTAGCATTGGTTATAATTGAATAAGAGAAATAAGTGATATATTTAAGATACATATTAGTTATTGTAGGATTATTGATAGCTGAGAAATGGTATAAATATTTAATAATTAGGTATTATAAATTGTTATTAATAATATTTTTGATTGATACTGAAATGAATATAAACATAAAATTATATGTCTAAGCATTTGCAGGAAAATAAATATTTGACTTTGTTGTATGTTACTCTCCTTTGCTAACACATTAGCTATTTTAATATAAATATGATCTTTCTAATTTTAATTTTACAGTTTGCCTTTTAAGTATTGTTACTTTGATGATAACATTACATATTCATCAATAGAATCTAATATTCTCTCGTCTTTTGTAGATATATGTAACAATTTAAAAATATAATCATAGCTTTTATCATTACCAATATGGCCAGCATTATTCTACTATGATAGATCAGATGATAATTTAATTGTAGCATTAATAAATATTGTTCAAATATTAAAATAGTTCTAATAAAAGGAATGATACAAATAATATTTATGATTTTTATTTGATTTACGATTAATAATTCAAATTAATTTAGAATTTGTTTGAATACCAGCATAATTATCTTGAATTTAATTGAGAGTTAAATCTTACGCCATACGTTTAATTTCTTTATAGGCACTCATTACAAAATATTCATTTTCACCTTCTATTCTCAAGAATAACTTCTTTTATCCAGGTAATGGCTTTTTACCAGGTTCTACAAGACTTCCTCTCTATGATATTTAACAATTAGTAAGTTCATGAATCATATTTAGAAATTCTTTGCTTAATATTTTCAATCTAGCTTAAGTTGGATAATCATTAATTTCAAAATCATAACTTACAAAATCATGATTATTTCTCTCTCTTTCTTCAAATTCGTTAATTATTTGCATTGCTTCTTCTATGCCTCCTTCAATTGATTTATTAACTTAGCTATGCTATTTTAATACTCTTTTTATTGCATCCATTGCTGCATTGGCTACTTATTCTCTTGATCCTCCAGAATTGATACACAAATTAGCTGCTTTTGTAGCCTCGGATAATATTTGAGATTTCAAAGCAGGATCTTTAATCAATTACATAATTCTCTCTCTTTCAACTCTATCTCTTTCTTCTTATTTTTTTAATCTTTCTCTAAAATAATAAATATAAAATATACTCTTCACTTAATTTGCCTTTAGCAATTTCTTCTAATACTTTTTCATCATCTGAAGATTATTCATCCATCATTAAACCCTCTAACCCAAACTTTTTTCTCATTTATGTCCTAAAATCCTAAAACTTTTGTTCTTCCTCAGGTCCAAATGTAAATCCTCCTCCAGCTCTATTTTTATTTCTATAAATTTTAGCTTCTCCTGCTTTAACTTTTTCCATAAATGACTTCTAATATTCTTTAAGTTTCTCAGGTAATTATTGTTCACTCTTTTCAAGTAAATAAACCAAATCATTAGCAAGATGTTCATCTTAAGGAGTAAAAAATGTTATAGCTGTTCCTTTTTAACCAGCTCTTCCAGTTCTTCCTATCCTATGTATATAATCTTCCATATGATTTGGACAACTGAAATTTATTACTAAACAAATATGTTTAATATCTAATCCTCTTGCTAATACAGATGTTGCTACCATTATTGTTCTTATTCCTTTCTTAAAATCATGTATTGTAAATTCTCTATCTTATGGATCCATTCCTCCATGTAAAACAAATGATTTATATCCATATTTCAACAATTCCTTAAATAAATCATCTGCTTCTGTCTGTTTTTCCACAAATATTAAAATACTGCCTTTTGTATACCATTCCTAAAATAGAAGCAACAATTTATATAATTTGTCTGATTCATCCATAAATTCTATTATTTATTCAATATTTCCACCTGCTTATCCTCTTCCTCCTACTATGCATTCTATAGGTTTACGTAAGACCCTTTAAATATACTAATTGATTAATACCTTTTGGCTAATTACTCAACATTTTTTGGGAATGTAGCTGAGAACATGACTAATTGTCTATCTGGTCTGATGTTTTGTATTATTTTACATATTTATGGTTCAAAACCTAAATCGAACATTCTATCAGCTTCATCTATTACTACATATGTTACCCTTCTTAGATTTGTTATTTTCCCATTGCTTGTTGTTAAAACATCAATCATTCGTCCTGGAGTACACACAACTATTTCAGTTCCTCTTTTTAAATCACTCAGCTAACCAGCTATTCCAGCTCCTCCAACACAACAAACAACATTCAAATTTAAAATAGAAGTAAACCATCTACAATTTACATAAATTTAATGTGCCAATTCTCTTGTTGGAGCCATTATTATGGCTATAGGGCCATCTCCATCTTTTAAAGCTGGTTGATCTAGAACATGCCTTAAAAGAGGTAATAAGTAGGCTAATGTTTTTCCACTTCCTGTTTCAGCAATACCTATAAAATCTCTACCTGACATTATACAAGGAATAGCCTAAAATCATGTATCAATTAATACTTGAGCTTAAATTGGAAATGGATTTAAGAATTTCTTTTTCTCAATCAATACATTTAATATTCTATCATTTAATCCACATTGATACCAATTTTAAATTGGTTTTGGTACATCCTTACCTCTCACTTTAATATCACCTAGTTATTATCTTAATTTTTTTGCTTCTTCTGCTGTCATTTATACTAATTCACTTACCTCTCTATAAAAATCTTTTCTAAAAGGTTAATAATCAATTGTAGAATGATCAACTGGTTTTAATTCTTTCTTTTCTAATTTCTTCTGTTTGTCAAAAATATCAGGTTCTTCTTCCAATAAAGCTAACATTTATTATTATTCTAAATCCACATCTTCAGCTTCATCTTCATCTTCTCTTTATCTCATCTTTTCTTCTAATTCTTTCTTCTTTAATTCTTTCATAAATTATTCATAAAACTTATTATCCTCTTCGTCTTCTTCATTAATTTATTAATCCAATTCCTCTTTTTACTAATTTTAAACTTCCTACACTTATTCAATATCCATTCCATTAGTATTTTTTTTTTCATTATTTTAATTAATACTATTTTATATGATATCCTCATAAGTAATTACTTTTTAAGCATTTAATTTTCTTAATTCTTCTTCAATGGCTTACTTTCTTTTTTTCTCCTTTTCTTCTTCTTCTTTTCTTCTTCTTTCATCTTCATCTGCTTATTATGTTGCTTCAGCTAAAAAAATAAAAATAAATTTATTACTTTCAACTTATCTCATAAATGCTTCAAGTGGATCCTCTTCTTGATCATCATATTATTCTTCTCTCCATTTTCGTTTTATTTATGGTCTTGAGAATTATTATTAAGTTTATTGTTATTGCAATTCTTTTAATTTAGAAATAGATTAAAGATTTTTTGTAAAGACTTTAACTTTAGAAGCATTTTCATCTTCACTATCACTATCACTATCATTATTTAATGTCTTTTTGTCTATCAAAAATCTTTCTTATTATTATTTATCTACTTTTTCAACAGGTTTCTAAACTTCATGTTCATCTTCTTCTTATATTTTAACATCTTATTTATTATCATTACCATTTTCATCTTAAAATTATTCTTCAGGATTGTCATCTTCCTCAATTCCATCAGAATCATAAAATAATTTTTCTCCCACCAATCTACATTTTTTTAATGCATCTTATATTTATTTTTCTTAATTTCTTTATGACCAATCATATATTAGTTATTCATCTGGAGGTAGAATTGGTTCAATTACTTCAGGATCTTTATAAACAAATTCTTTTTTATCATCATCATCATCATCATCTGAATTTTAAAATTTAATCAATTTAGCTTTCATTAATCTAGACAATCGTTTTTATTCGTCATCTTTTAACTTTTATTCATCTTAAGCTTATTTTTTTTAAGCATTTATTGGAGATGGACTTTGGCTTTTCTTTTTACTTTTTTTATCTTTTTTTTTTGATTCTTTTTACTTTTTATTTTTCTTTTAAGACTCCTTTTTTATTGATTCTTTCTTTTTTATTGATTCTTTTCTTATTGAATCTTTCTTTGCTTTTGATTTTTTTTCCTTCTTTTCTTTCTTTTCTTTCTTTTTATTAGACCTACTTCTACTTTTACTCTTCTTTTTGTCTTTCCCCATTTAATAAAAATTTAAATAAAAGATAATATTTATCATCCCTGTATATAAATGTAAATAAATTCACAATCTTAAAACAAACTCTTTCAATCTTGCAATCATTTCTATATAAATATCTTTAGTTGCTATTGTAAGCATTCTTTAAATAATAATAATTATTACCTAAATCCTTGATATTTTTCTGTTCCATTCCAAGATAATGGTAATAACATTATATTTTCTTCTTTAAGTAATTTCTTAGCAAATTCAGTGTCATTTTTTACTTAAAATACATCTAAATCAATAAGAACAGCTAAATAAAATGTTCCTTATGCTGGTATACATTTTAAACCTCTAATTTGATTTAGTTCTTAAATTAAAAAATCATGATTTTCTTTGAAATGTGTCATTCTGTCTTTAGCATAATATATTGTTAATTAATCAAGTATTTAAGGTAGAGAATTCATAACAAATACATTTGCATGCAATAACAATTGACATAAATTAAACATAGCTTATTTTATTTCATCTGCATAATGATTTTTATCATAAAAAATCATCCAAGATATTTACCATCCAGGAGTGAAGAACATCTTATCCATTCCTCCTAAACATATTATGGGTCCTTCATCTGCTAATTCTCCAAATGAAACAAATTCTCCAAATGACATACCATAATAAATTTCATCAGCAACTATTAAAACACGATTTTAATTTGCCCAATTTATTATTTCTTAAACATGTTCCTTTGAAAATACAGAACCACAAGGATTTGAAGGATTAATTACATATAAAAACTTAGTGTTGACATCTAATTTGCTCTTTAAATCCTCCAAATCAATTTACCATTTATTATCTGATTATAATTTATATTTTCTAACCTAAAATAATACGTCATCTGTTTTACCTCAACTTAATATGCTTAGGCTATTCCATCGAAAAAAGGAAACCCTAATTCAGGAACAAGAATATTTTAACCAGGGTCACATAACCCCAACAAACAATAAAAAAGACCTTAGTTCACTCCTTGTGTTATAATAACATCATTTTCTGTAATGTTCTTTCCATGACCAAAATGTTTAGCCACAGCTTATTTGGCAGGCTATATTTAATTTTTAATTTACTTGAGTTCCAGTTGAATGGCAATAAGAGTGATTCTAAGACTTAGAGATCTCAGATTTAACAATATCATAACCAATCTAACTCATCTTGCATTACTCATGCCCAAACTCAGTTGGATCACCTTTCATAAATTAGATCAATGGTTTAGTATGATTAGCATCTGCTTAGAGCTCTGAAAAGTTTTTCAATAATGCTTGATTTTAACTGAGGAGAAATTCTGAAGCTTTTATCATTAAATTTTAATCAAATAATCTCAAAAAACAGATTAGAGTTATAATATGTTAATTTAAACTAATTAATATAAACCTTTGTAATCTAGAATTCATTCAACATATTGATTCTATTCATCTAATAAAAATTAATATTTAATAAGTTAATTAATCATTTGAGTTTTGAAATCACACTAAAAGGGCTAACAAGATGATTAGATAATCAATAAGATTAATATTAATGTTTTAATATTTCAAATACTTCCCAATAAAATAAAAAATTGTTTCTTATAAAAAGATTTTTGTTGTATTATCACTAATTCGAATTTCAAAATTTTGTTAATTTTATTTAATATATATTTATTTATATACATGAGTTATTAAGGTGATGAAATTTAATGAAAAAAAATCTTTCCAATTTAAATTAATTTATTCTTTATAAGGTATTATATCCGACTTGTATAAAGGTTTTACGTAAATATCAAATTTACCATAGATTCTGTAATATTAATTACAGATATGAAGAGAATTATCTTCAAATTAACTAATAAATCAATTTTTTATTAAATTTATGCAGTCAAGTCTGTCAGCCAAAATTAATTAAACAGTGAATTCATAATGATTTATTCTTTTCTTATTACTATTAATATATTTTTATTCTCTAATGAAAAGAACCTTCTCATAGCTTTTTCTTTGATGTAAATATAAAAATTTTGAAGAAATAAGAATATTTAAGATTTAAAGAAAAGTAATAATAAATATCCATTCCCTAATGGACTTAGATTTTATTTTCTTTCCTGCTCCTAAAGAGACATTAGATAATGTGTATTTTGATGAAGGTAGAATATTGTGGATACCAAAACATTCAGCATTGTATCCAAACTTTTAGAATTATGTTAAAAGAAAAACAAATAAAAATATGGTTATTTTTTTAAGACAATCAACCCAACAAGTAGAAGAAGAATAATTAGCTTTAATTGATGATTAAAAGTAAATATTTCTAAAATTCATAGTGAATTACAAAAATAACCAATACCTTAATTTCCAAATATTCATCACTCCAATAAATAAAATTTAGTTAAAAATATTTAGGTTGAAGATAAAGAAATAGGATCACTAGAATTTGAATTAACCGACTAAGAAGAGGATTTATAAGATAAAATATCAAAATTAAATTAGGAATCTGTTTACAACATAGGCAAATCTAAGATTAATAATATTTAATAAAATTCATTCATGCGAAATAAAAAAAGGGAAACTACAAGTAAAAGTTCTCAACATTTTCTTTAATTCAATTAAAAATAGGAAACTACTATATAATAAATAAAAACTCGTCAAAGAGATGGAAAGGTAATTGGATATATACCTAGTTTGCTTATCAAATATGAAAATTCATCAAATATCATAGTGTATTTTCATGGAAATGCTGAAGATATCAGCCAATCCTATGCATTTTTGATACATCTTCGTAATGTTTTGTAATTATTACTATATCATAGTAAGAAAAGATTTCAGTTTTGGCAGTAGAATACCCAGGTTATGGAAAATATAATTAAGTTCAAACTTCTGCTGAAGNAATAAAATAAAAAATTGTTTCTTATAAAAAGATTTTTGTTGTATTATCACTAATTCGAATTTCAAAATTTTGTTAATTTTATTTAATATATATTTATTTATATACATGAGTTATTAAGGTGATGAAATTTAATGAAAAAAAATCTTTCCAATTTAAATTAATTTATTCTTTATAAGGTATTATATCCGACTTGTATAAAGGTTTTACGTAAATATCAAATTTACCATAGATTCTGTAATATTAATTACAGATATGAAGAGAATTATCTTCAAATTAACTAATAAATCAATTTTTTATTAAATTTATGCAGTCAAGTCTGTCAGCCAAAATTAATTAAACAGTGAATTCATAATGATTTATTCTTTTCTTATTACTATTAATATATTTTTATTCTCTAATGAAAAGAACCTTCTCATAGCTTTTTCTTTGATGTAAATATAAAAATTTTGAAGAAATAAGAATATTTAAGATTTAAAGAAAAGTAATAATAAATATCCATTCCCTAATGGACTTAGATTTTATTTTCTTTCCTGCTCCTAAAGAGACATTAGATAATGTGTATTTTGATGAAGGTAGAATATTGTGGATACCAAAACATTCAGCATTGTATCCAAACTTTTAGAATTATGTTAAAAGAAAAACAAATAAAAATATGGTTATTTTTTTAAGACAATCAACCCAACAAGTAGAAGAAGAATAATTAGCTTTAATTGATGATTAAAAGTAAATATTTCTAAAATTCATAGTGAATTACAAAAATAACCAATACCTTAATTTCCAAATATTCATCACTCCAATAAATAAAATTTAGTTAAAAATATTTAGGTTGAAGATAAAGAAATAGGATCACTAGAATTTGAATTAACCGACTAAGAAGAGGATTTATAAGATAAAATATCAAAATTAAATTAGGAATCTGTTTACAACATAGGCAAATCTAAGATTAATAATATTTAATAAAATTCATTCATGCGAAATAAAAAAAGGGAAACTACAAGTAAAAGTTCTCAACATTTTCTTTAATTCAATTAAAAATAGGAAACTACTATATAATAAATAAAAACTCGTCAAAGAGATGGAAAGGTAATTGGATATATACCTAGTTTGCTTATCAAATATGAAAATTCATCAAATATCATAGTGTATTTTCATGGAAATGCTGAAGATATCAGCCAATCCTATGCATTTTTGATACATCTTCGTAATGTTTTGTAATTATTACTATATCATAGTAAGAAAAGATTTCAGTTTTGGCAGTAGAATACCCAGGTTATGGAAAATATAATTAAGTTCAAACTTCTGCTGAAGCTATATAAAATGATGCTGATTATATTTATAACTATTTATCCAAAAAAATAGGTTATGAATAAAATTCAATAATGATCTTTGGAAGATCAATAGGATCAGGTCCTGCAACCTATTTAGCTAGTAAATACAAACCAGGTTGTTTAGTGTTAATGTCACCATTTACTTCCTTAAAAGATGCTGTTCGTGATTATGTTAGGTTTGTAGGTACATGGGTTTAACATTTAATTAGACAAAGATTTAACAACTTAGACAATATAAATGATGTTACATCTCCAACTTTTATATTGCATGGAAAGAAAGATGATTTGATTCCTTATTAATAAGCTTAAAAATTATAAGGTAAAAAATAGATTTAGTGTTTTAGAAAATTGTTCTGCCAAAATATGTGTTTTACATTTAGCAGAAGATATGGATCATATTAGTTATAAGTTACATTCTGATTTAATTATTCCTTTGATGCAATTCTTAAGGAAAATAAATTTCTTTTAAATATTTTTTAAACGCCCTAAGGTACCCACTAAATTATATCATAATCCAATAGTATGAGTGATGATAATTAATAAACAATATTAAACAAAATACATAATAATCACAGTTATCATTCATTCTTTCTGTTATTGTTGCTATTGTCTATAAAGTTATTAGGCAAGGATATATCTATTTATATCCATTTAATTTTTATTTTTGAATTTCATACTTTATTTGGCTGCTCTTAGTTTTTATAATAAAGCTTCTCTTTCCTATTAAATTTTAGACTTATTATTACCTTATCACTTTCTACATATGTCTCATCTGATACTTATTAAGTTTATTATTATTCTGTTTTTTATAGTTAATTACGATTAGTACCAAATGATCTTCTACTATCTATTTAGTCATAAAAGATTATAATACCTAAATTTGATTATTGAGTATCCTTTCTTTTTTCATTCAAGGCTTTTTTTAAGTTAGCTAATAAAGCTTCTGCTTCCTTAACTCTTGTATCTTCTGGTTTTAGAGTCTAGTTATAACACATAAATTACTCTCTTTAATAGATCAGATGCTCTTTCTTAGAATTCAACTGCCTTTTAGAAATCTCCAATTTCACCATGTTCCAAAGCAATAGCCGAATAATATCCAGATATTCTCAATTTATACTATTATGTCTCTGTACCTTAAAAGGACTTAAATAATGATTCACATTTCTCTAGTCCTTCAAATAAACAGTTTAAAGCACTCTAATGTTAACCACTTTCTGAATAAAGTAATGACAAATTTGTATATTGATTAAATACTTCTTAGCCTTCACCTCCAATTAAATTGGCAAGATATAAAGTATGCAACATATGATTGAAAGCCTCTTTATAATTTTTGGTAGAAAAATAATATAAAGATAAAGCTGTTATGGATTATATTGTTAAAGGGTGATCATAACCATAAATTGCAGTATATATTTAAATAGCTTACTTTTAGAAATGTATGGCTGCTTCATATTCCTATTTTCTTAAATAAACAGCTGAAATCTTAGAGTAACAATTTGCTAATTCTTTATGCATTTAACCATGTAAATTTAAAATTATTTATGATGCAGTAAGATAAGATTCTAAAGCTTAATGAAGATTTTAATGTTCAAGCATATATTTTTGACCAATTTCAATATTATTTTTAGCATCTTCTGAAACTTATTCTATAAATTTAATAATTGGCTAGATTCCTACTATATCAGATGGTTAGAATTCGTGATAATCTCTAGCAACTAACTATAATCCTATTTATTAACATAATTCTCTTAAACAAGATAATTTATGGAAACCTTTTTTATTTAATATAGATGGATCTATTTTATGCTAATATCTAGCTTCAGCAATTTTATTGATTTAATCCCAAACTTCTTAATATGTTGGATATTAATAATTATTAGTTTGAATTAAACATTTAAAATGTGGTTTATCACCATTTTAAGTACTTTTGTTTTTATTTTTCTTTTTTTTCTTCTTTTCTTCTTATTTATTATTATTAATAGAAGTATTTGAATTTGAAAAAATTACATTTAAAAGATGACTCAAAACTTAAGATAATTAATTTTATGGTGCCTTTCTCATTGATTCTCTAAAAATGTGTTTTAAAGTTTTTGCAAAGACTACTCTTTCCAAAGTAAGTCTTAAAGAGGGTTATTCTTCAGAACGAATAAAACTTATTACTTTTCCAAGATATCTCATATTTACTCCATGAGAATGAAAAATATCTGAAATACTAAGATCAGAATGCCTTGTTGTTTCTGGTTATGCTAATTCTTATATTAATTGAGGAATAGCTTAATTTAACAAGAATTAAGATAATTTTTTTAAATCCTCTTCTTATTAAATTAATTTTTCTGATTATTATAATATTGTCTTAGTGCCTAATGCTGGATTTAATTTTAATCCTTCCTTTGGATTTCCAATTAATAAATTTTAAATATTTTAATATGCTTCTTATTATGTTTTTGGATCATCACTATTATTTTATTTTATTTTTTAAATTGTGTTAACAACCCAATAATTTTAAAGTAATTCATATCTTAAAACACAACATTAATTATTTTCTCCTTAATAATTATAATCTCTTGGAGATAATCTTAAAAGATCAAGCAAATACATTCTTTTATCTGATCCCATAATACCTTTTACTTCTATGCTTCCAGCCATAGAATACTTTTATTGATTGCTATCAAGAAATACAATATCAGTATCAAGATGAAAGAATTCACATGTTTTTGACATTACCTTGTGAAATTCTTCAGATTTTTAAATGGTCTTTCCATCATCAATTGAACCATATTATGTACAATTACTATGATCACTATTTAGAATTCCTGGTATAATTGATTATGCAATAACTCTTCTTCCTTTATAATCAACTAAACAAGTATTCAAAACACTTAATCCAGGAATATCTAATTTGTGTAAAATCTATAAATTTCTAAAATCACAATTTGTTGTAGAAACTGTTGGTGTAGCATCAGGACCACTTTCTTACTTTAATTTATATATAATTTAATACTCTAAAATCTTCTGGTGTTTCCATTGCAAAACTAAAGAATATTTGATTATAAACGTAAACTTATTAGCATTCAATATCCATAGGATTCAAAGGTTAAATGATTTTATCAACTACAGCACAAGCTCCTCTAACTGCAGCCTCTACAAAATCTCCATAGACCTTTGATAATGCTTTATCTCTATTCAATTTTTAGATTAAATCCATTTTAGGCAATGATCTAAATACTTATAATTCTTCATTCCAATCTCTTAAACTTGAAACATCAAATCCATGTAAATCTAATGCCCAACTCTCACTTCTTTAATGATCTAAAGTCAAAGGATGTTCTGGTACTGACAACCATTTATGATTATATTTAATTGTAGCTGGTAATGCAGGTTATTATTACTCTGGAATAGCATTAATTAACTCCTTTCTAAGTTTTTGTAAGATTATCATTTTACTTAAATGATGGGCTTTAATCCACAATCAGATCTATAAGATTGTAGTAACAATCGCTTTTTTGGGTTGGCTCAAAAGTTCTTCCTTAAGAGCTATTGACATAAAAACCTAAATTTGAGGCTGTTATTATTAATTCAACTGATTCAATGGTTTTAAGGACAATATAAAAGAGATCACCTAATTATTGCTATTTTCAATACCCTTTAATTTACGCGAAAGAGGAGGAGGATTGAAGGATGACAATCCTAATTATTACACATTTTATTTAATAGCCTTATTGTCATCATTTAAGAGTAAATTTGGTTTGATAGCTGGTTAAAGGATATCATTTAATTACAAATCACTTATTTCTTTTAGAGATAATGAATCCTCATTTTAATTTTTGCCTTTACAAAGATATTAATAATGTGACAGATTGGCAATTATTTCTTAGACTCTTCTTAAATGGAATCTAGCTGTTCTTTCATTAAATTCATCTATATATTTATTGATTTCAATACCTAATAAAACTTGCAATTTTCCTCCATCTGGTATAGAAAATTCACTGTATTCATTGATTCGCTATCCTTTATGAGAAAAGTAGAAATTTTGAAAGAGGGACAATATTGTGGATTCTGTAAGATATTATCTGACTTCTAGTAAAGTTTCAGCAATCTCTAGAGGCCAAGTATATTTATCATAGAAGTCTAAATACAATTTTACACTTTCTTCTTTTGTTTGTTTCATCTCAAATCGACCGCAAATTAAATTAATATGCAAAAATCTTAACTTAAATATGCTAAAACATCGTAATATCTAAGAAGAAGCTCATTGAATTCATAAAATTCATAAAGCCCTAAAAAGATAGCAAATTAATCATAAGACTAGATGACTAGTAGCTAACTGTAATTAGAAATGTCAAAATCATAATAATCATTTCGTAGTTCTAATAGTCCTGTTGGACATTGTTAGTCTGTTAGGTAAGATATATTTTAATATTAAGCTCTAAAACATTCCCATATCCACCTTCACCAACTAGAACTCTATAAAAAAGACCCTCTTAAATAATATCAAAGTAATAACTTCAATCAATGCATGAACGTTCGATCATAAAAATGTTAGGACTTAAAATGGAAGCTATTTGTACTAAAACTTCTCATGAGAAGAATAAAATGGTTTTCATTTGTTAATATCCAAATTGTGAAGCAGATAATAGATTAGGTTGTTCTTATTGTTAAATTGAATAACATGGTAATCATGCATCTTAAAATATGGAAATATAAACATTTTGTAAAATATTTGATGACAGAAGACAATAAGTATATAAAATATATGATTATTACTTAGTTTGATAATCTCTGTAATTAAATTATGCGAGTTCCTGATAAAATTACTTAAGTAAAAACATTTTTTGAAAAATTGAGAATAACTATATAAGAAAGATTATAATAAATAGAAGATAATGTAATTAAATCAATTGATGAAGAATTATAATGGTAACCATTAGAAAGAGATCTTTAAAATAGAGTTAATTATTTAAGCAACAAAAATATATTTGACATGACATAAGAAGAACTTACAGAAAGTTTAAGTTTTATTTAAGGTAAACATCTATCTGAAGTTGAATATATTATTAATGAAACTGAAAAGTATCTTACATCAAAAGTGGATTAAGTTTAATAATCTTGGAATGATTTCAGAGAACAATTAGAATTTGAACTAATAACAGCTTTAGGAGACAATAATAAAATTTAAATTATCGATTAAAAATAAAGAAAGGAATATGCTTAATTAAAACTTTAAGTTTTAGCATAAAAATAAGAAAAGTATCTTGAATAATTTAGACCATTTTAAATAATAATGAATGAAATTTAAGAGGAAGAAAGAAAGATTGAAGTTCAAAAATAAGAGGAAGTAAAAAAATAAACAGAATTATAAAAATAACAATTATTATAAATGAAAAAAGAATAAAAATAAAGAGAATTAGAATAAATTAAATAAAAAGAAGAGTAAAAGAAAAAAGAGAAAGAATAAGAAAGAGAAAAATAATTAAGAACATTTCCACACATTTTATATACTTAAGATTGTCCTCATAGATTACCATGTAATACTATTCCAATTTTCTCTTGTTGTAATAAAGCTTATCCTTGTACATAATGTCATGGTTATTAATTTCATCCCCCTAGAATCTCAATACCAAGTTATAGATATTGTATGAATTGTTTAGAAATCTACTTAGTAGTTTTTCCAACAAATTAATCAGTTAATTGTCTAAAGTGTTAGATTTAATAATAATCTTGATCATTATAAGATTAATTTATTATCTTAATTATTATCATAATTTGATTTATTTCCTAATTATTATTCTAATGTATGATATCGTCTTTCTATCTTGTTAAAATGCTAAAATGTATTCTTTCCAATATTATTTCTAATATTTCTTTATGTATTATTAATATTGCTAATATTAGTGGCTGATAAACCATTATTTTCACAAGAAACAGGGCTTAATCATAAAATTAACATAATACGGTATATTTGAGTTATTCAATTATGTTGAAAATAATGTTAATGAAAACCTTTTATCTGCTTTTAAAATACTTTTTAATAACTATTTTTTTACAGAATTTTGAGAATCTACATTAATTTATGTTATGGTTTTTTAATCATTCATTTATTCTCGAAAATCACTCATACTCTCTAATTTTCCCTTTTATATACCTATTTTTCGATAATGTATTTTTATTTTATTATCTAATAAATGATATTTTTATTTCTATTCTTCAATATTCTCTTTAATCCTTTCATTCTCAATTTACTTTTTCTATTTTCTCTCTTCATCGATTAATACCTTTGCTTCTAATCTTCTTTTTGATAATAATGTCTAATAAGGTAATGTTTCATCATATTCTTCATCTTAATCAAATTTTTCCAATTTTTTAATACTTTCTCTATAAACTTTTTCTTCCTATTGTAATTCCATTATATGTAATTTCTCTATAATTTATTATAATCTCTTTGATTTATGTTGCATTTGTTAAAACTCACCTTTCTTTATAAATATTTTTAATATACTTTTATGTACAAATCAGCACAATCTTAATCGCTCTAAATCTCATTTTACTTACCTTTTATTTATATTTGAAGATTTTTAATCAAAGGTATCATAGCCTATTGTATCTTATTACAAGTTTAAGAGTAATTGAAACTAAAATTGCATTATTCTATACTTGCAATTTGGAACCTCATCTAATTCATATTGGCACTAACAACGAATCATTTCTTTATCAATTTTGTTTTAGACTTCTTTTGATTTTGAAAGTGATGCCAAGACCTTATTGACTTTTTTGATCTTTTGTTGATGTGAAATTGATTTAATAGGACCATCTATTCCCTATTTAGTAGCAATCAATCTTTTTTATAATTATGCTAATTTTGGTTTGAATTGATTGGTTTACTGTAGGAAGTCTAAGCAATACTATTTTCTTCTTTGTATATAAAATTCAATATTTTCTTTTGTTAATTACATAAATTATATATTATTTTTAAAAGAAATCCAATATTCAGAAGTATAAAAGATATTCCAATTTATATATTTTCTCTTACATATAAAATTTTTATTCTATTTTTTTAAGAAATACTTGTAAATATATATGGAGAATATTTAACTTATTAATATTTAAATTTGTTAAATTAATAATTGCAACCTTCCTTTATTATTATTATGCATTATAAATTGTTAGAATAAAATCATAATTAAGAATAAAGAAAGGAATACAAATTTTAAAATAATTTAATTAAATATCAAAATTTCCTACAGTTGTCTACATATGAATTAATTTCTTTAAAAAATCTTGATTAGAGAGCTATTACAGTTTATAAATTTGAATACATTTATGCTCTTCTTCAAGAATTTATATTTCTTTATTTTGAGATATTAACTTAAAGGCTTTTTTATTTATTGATGATTATTTTGAAGGATTACAAGAATTTACTTATAAAAATGTTTGAATCAATTTTTCAAAACTAATTTCATCATTAATGTTTTCTCTTCCACTCATTGATGTTTTTGGATATTAAATGAAAATCTATTTTTTTGGTTCTAAAGTTCGACATTATAATTCTTTTCTTTATATTACAAAAGATCTTTCATAAAAGGAATCAATTGGCTATTAAGCTTTGCGTTCTATAGGTTAAGTTGAATGATGCCTTCTTTTAATCTTTCTAAATAAGGTTTTGTTTTCAATTAAAACAGGAAAGAATGGCTCCATTTCAAAAGGCAGCATATTGTTAATTTGAAATTATTTTAAGTAGTTAAATAACTTTATTTATCAAAAATTAGAGAAATAAATTTTGATGCTTTAAAAAACTATAATTATGAATAATATATAATATGAACTTATCTTATTATTAACTTAGTTAAACTTAGAAATCTATAAGAGTTTAATTATTTGTTCTATAAAATATATTAATAAATTAAAATTAAATCGAATTATATATAGAAATGTTTGAAATGCATGAAGAACAAAATAATGAAAATATTGCTTAAATCCAAGATTCAAATCAGCTTAGATTATCAAAAAGACAATCATTCAAATCAGATACAATTCTTTAATGGAATTCTTTGTAAGAGAATCTATAATTGCAATATAATTTGTTAAATAAGGGTACTTTGTGGCAATTGAAAATTAGAAAATGAAACCAAGAATGAACGTATTTCGATTCTACTGAATACTACAGAGAAGTATTACCAGACATAACTTCGATATAAAGACTTACGTAGAATGTACAATCAATAATAAGCAAATAATTATCATCTAAAACAATGTTTATTAGGATACAAATTTGAAAATTATCATACAGAAATACAAAAATTCTTATTTTTATTAATGGAAAATCAAGAACTATTTGCATAATTAATTCATTCATCTTTGGATGTTGGTGTTCATAATTTAGATGAATTTATATTTGATATTTTAACATTTTTATATGATCCAATTATAGGTGCTGGTCTTTAAGAAGGTGTTTTTAAATTATTAAGTGAACTCTTAAAATTAGAATTGACAATCCTTAAGAATCCATTAGAATTGTTTTAGGATAAATCTAATTTAGTTTGCAAATTCCTTATAGGATTTTGTAAAGGACCATTATGTTAATCATATATACAATAAGTATGTGGATAAGCATTAAATTTACTAATGAATGTAAAAGAAGAGTTAGAATTGAATCCAAATATGTAAAATTTAATATAAATATAAATTATAGAATTTATGAATCATAGTTAAAATTTAAAGAAAGTAAAGAATCTGCAAAACTTTTGAAATTAAAACAAGAGACTAAAGTAAGAAAACTAATGACTAATCTTTTACCAATTTTAATGCAAGGAACAGAAGAAAATAAAGATATTAATGTATATGAGAATGTTAGAAGAACAAATATACCTGATGATATACTAAATAAAATTACAGAATAAATTACTCCTACAATTCAATCATATTGCCAAACTCCATTATAGAGAATAATGGATCCATAATTATTAGAGGAAACTGTTAAAATATTATATGATAGACAAAAAGTGACAGAGATGATCATTAACTCTATATGTGACAACATTTTAAACAGTTTACATAATTTACCTTTTATAATAAGAGCTTTATGCAGATTGTAATATCAAATATTTAAAGTTCATTATTAATAATATACATAAGAAGAATTATTTAATTTTTTGATTTAATTTTTCATTAATAAATGGATATTACCTGAGTTTACGGCTATGTTTATAAATCAATAATAATTAGAACCATCTTAATATTAAACTAGCAATATTACAGCTATAAGTAAAATATTATTATCTGTTTGGAAAGGAGAAACAATAAAAGGTCTAAATATATCTTTAACAAATGTTGCTGTTTTTAATTATTTCAAAGAATTAATTGATTTACCTTAAACATAGTTGAATTTTTATATCAAAGAAAAATCTGAAAAACATTTCATTTCTTATTTACTTTCTATCTCAGATTTATAAATTTTATTAAATACAATATCAAAATCAAGAATAGAAGGCTCATTAGGTGGCAAATAATTAACTAGATATACAGATTTAAGGGAATTAGCAGATAGTATAATGAGATATAATTAAAAAATGGGAAATGATTTTATGAGTAATAATGTATAATGGAAAGGATAGAAAGTACTTGCAAGTAATATGCATTTTACTGTACATAGATTATCTGATCTTTATAATGTTAATTATATAGATATAGCTTTTAAATTCACAGAGAAATTTAGTGCATAAGATAAAGAAGAGTTATTGTTTATTTCAAAGGCAAAATAAGTTGTAGCATAATTTTTAATTTCTATTGAAAGTATATCTCTTTTGACAAAATTGAGAAATAATATTATCTTAAGTTTTGACAACCTCATTTATATGTATAAAGATGTAATTTATATATATATAATTTAGTCATATGAAAATAAGGGTCAAATAATTAAATAATATGAGAATATTTCACCCTAATTATATGCAAACTATTTGCTTTCAATTTATAAAATGATTCCAAATCAATATACTAGCAATAATCTTTCTCTGTTATGTCAAGAAATGATATAAGAATTCGATTAGAAAGTTACTTATGCTAAAAATCGTAAGTTCTCTTTGTTTCTTATTTAGAATAAAAGGCTATGTTAGAAGTTTTCTTGAAAATAATTACGCAACTTCAAACTGAAAGAAGTGAAATTAAAGCTTTGAATAAATAGCTAAAAACTATAGAATTAAAAAAAAAATTGAACTATTTTTTAAAAAATGTCAAAATACCATGTTTATTGAGTTTCAGATATGGATAAATCAATTTGATTCCAATATAAGATATATCCAAAATCAAATCATTAGATCCAAAAGATAATGAAAAATAATCATTCTTATAGATTGCTAATGGAGAAGATCTAAATTCATTATAATTGGAATTACCATTTTCAAGTATAAGAGACTTTATAGATATATTGAGTGGACTTAATCATTTAAAATTTGCCTTAGAAGGAGATAATGTTTATATAGAGATGTAATATTTATTTTATATAGTATTCTAGAGTATAAAAACTATTTTAAAATTATATGAAATTAGTAGAAGAAAAGTTAGAACAATAATCTTTTTTTCCATAAAATTAGAATATAAAAAAGAATAATCAATATATTGATTTATGTTATGAAACAGCAGAAAAATCTGTTGTACGTAGAATAATGATGAAATATTGTACAGTTAATGAAATTAAAGAGGATAAATCATTTATTGAGTAATGTCAAAAGAAATTAAAACATCTTGAAGAATAATAGGAGGTTAAAATTTGTTTATCAGAATTGCCTATGTTATAAAAAATGAGTGAATGTATTTAATAATATAAATCTAAATTAGCTTTCAGATAGATTGATTAAGTAATAACTCCTATTGAGAAATTACAAATGATTTCTAATTGTTTGAGTAACTTATCCTTATTATTGAAAATATCTGGAATTGATGATAATCCTGGTTAAGATGGAACTCTACCAGTTTTTATATATTTAGTTGCTTAAGCATGTCCTAAATTTATGAAAACCAATTTGAATATAACACAATCTTTATTCAATTTTGATAGATGGAAGAATTCCACTTATCCATTTTCATCAACATAATTATAAGGAGCATATGAAAATATTATGAGTTGACATTATAACAATATATATCATAATTATTTTGAATCATCATTATCCCAAATATTGTCTCCTTCAAATACTTCTCCTTATTCTTAATTCTCTTCTTCCATAGCTAATCTAACATATTCCTGAAATGCAAATCTATCCCAATCATTAAAGTCTGGATGATCAACTATATCATTACGTACTTGAAAAGGATCCCTATTTTCATAAGCAACAAGTTTATTTAAATTAGTTAAAAAGTTAAAGAAAACTCCACAAACTGTCAAATTCTATTTAAAATGATTCAATTTAAAGAGAATATCATTATCAGGATGTAAAAGATCAACCATCTAACAAACAAAGTCTTGAAACAAGATAGGTTCATGATTTAGATAATCCATTCGTTGTTTCAATTCTTCATAAAAGTAATCCATCTCAAATCCAGTAATAATTCCATTATTATCTAAATCAATAACTTTAAACCAATATTCAATAGATTAAATTGTAGTTTTATCCTCTTCACATTAAATAAAATAAACAAAATCTTCATATGACATTTTCTAATCTATTTAACTTCTAAATCTACGTGGTATTTAGTCGAATATACGATCAACCACTTTTCTACTTAGACCATGACTAGAATAACGAGAAAAATCTTCTTTACTAATATGAAAATCATGATCTCCATCTAATTCCCAAAATTTACAATAAATAACATAGAAATGTTCATAAGAGAAATATTGTCTAATCTAACAAGGAATTATAAAAAGGTACCTTATTTATATCTTCTTCTTTTCCTACTAAATCTAAAACATCAAATAAATTGCTTTATTTAAAATCTCTCCATGTAATTTTATCATTATCTTTTCTACATAAATGATAAAATATTCTATGAATGACAGTGTCAGCATATCGTTCTTAAAATTCAGGTGTTGCTTACAAAAATTCTAATCCAGGATGTTCTTAAAGCAAAACTATTTAGGAAAGAGAATGTACTCTTCATGAAAGGCTTAAAATCCTCAAATTAAATGTAATCATTTGTTTGTTTTTTTAATATCTAAAAACATCTTTTTTTTGGTTCTTTTTAAGCTAAATGTTAATTCCAATACTTTAAAAACCCAGATTTACTTATCTTAGTAGTATTACTCTCAATAGCAACCATTAAAATTTTTGTAAGGTATTTACAAAGTCCACATAAAATTGTTGTAATTTATTCAAAATGGATGGCATCAATAAAGTCTTATTTACCAAAAATTTCATTGATGATTTTCTGGAATTAATAAATACATGGAATTTACATTTTATTCTAATTATAATTACAAATTAATCTCTTGAGTTGGAAAATAGAATTGTGGAACTAATTCATAATTCTTTGCCTCTTCAACATGACATTTCTTTTGCAAAATTTATGATTAAGTAAGTGATTATGAAAGGTCTTCAGGTATTCTTAATTTAAGATCTTAAAATGGGTCTGTTTTTGGCGGTGATGAAGGTCCTTAAGACTTTTTGTTTGGAGAGCTAAACAATGCGCTCTATGATACACCAGACATTGCCATTTTATTAATAAAAAATGCATTTGGTTAAGCTATCAGATTATTTTATTTGCCATCTTTTGCATCTTTGATTAGTATTTGTACTAATTTTTAAGTTTAAGGTTAGGTTAGCCATCTAATGAAAAGATCATTAACACGAGTTTTTGCTAATTAAAATCTAACATTCTCTGTTAATTAGAAACCTGCACCAACTCCTTCAGAATACGATTTCTAAAGCATAAAATAATTAAAATATCTTTTTAATTTGATGTTTGCTATCACGAAGTAAGCATTGTTTAGACAATAAGCAATGAAACTCATGAATAGATTTGCTGTTGTTGCAAACAATAAACCAGAAAAAGGGCCATCTTAAGTAATATTAAAACTAATGATAAAAGGGACACTTGACAGACAAATATACAGTCATAGATCACACTTATGATGCAGTAGTTGTAGGAGCAGGTGGAGCTGGATTAAGAGCAGCTTTTGGTTTAGTTGAATTAGGTTTTAAGACTGCATGCATATCTAAGCTATTTCCAACTAGATCACATACTGTTGCAGCATAAGGTGGTATTAATGCAGCTTTAGGTAATATGACAGAGGATGATTGGAGATGGTATATATGATCAAAATTTATTTAGGCATGCATATGATACTATTAAAGGATCAGATTGGTTAGGAGATTAAGATGCTATTACATATATGTGTAAAGAAGCACCTAAGGCTGTTTATGAATTGGAAAGTTATGGTTTACCATTCTCCCGTACTCCTGAAGGCAAAATTTATTAAAGAGCATTTGGAGGTTAAAGTTTGAAGTTTGGAACAGGTGGATAAGCATATAGATGTTGTGCAGTGGCTGATCGTACTGGACATGCTATGTTACATACACTTTTTGGCAGAGCTTTAGGTTATGATTGCATTTTCTTTGTTGAATATTTTGCACTTGATTTAATGATGGATGATTAAGGGTAATTTTATATTTATTATAAATTCATAGAGCTTGTAGAGGAGTTGTATGCATGTCAATGGCAGATGGATCAATTCATAGAATTAGAGCTGGATATACTGTTATTGCAACAGGAGGATATGGAAGAGCATTCTAATCATGTACATCAGCACATACATGCACTGGTGATGGTGGTGGTATGACAATTAGAGCTGGCTTACCTATGGAAGATTTAGAATTTGTGTAATTTCATCCTACTGGTATTTATGGATCTGGATGTCTTATGACTGAAGGATGTAGAGGTGAAGGAGGTATTCTTAGAAATTCTTTGGGCGAAAGATTTATGGAAAGATATGCTCCTACTGCTAAGGATTTAGCTAGTAGAGATGTTGTTTCTAGAGCTATGACTAAAGAAATTTTAGAAGGAAGAGGGTAATTATTATATACTAATCCTTCTTAGAGTTGGACCAGAAAAAGATCATATTTATTTACATTTAAATCATTTACCTGCTGAATTATTACATGAAAGATTACCAGGTATCAGCGAAGCAGCTAAAATCTTTGCAGGAGTTGATGTTACCAAAGAACCAGCTCCAGTATTGCCAACAGTCCATTATAATATGGGTGGAGTACCTACAAATTACAAAACTGAAGTGTTAAATCAAGTTAATGGAAAAGACTAAATTGTTCCTGGACTATTAGCTGCAGGTGAAGCTGCTTGTGCCTCAGTTCATGGTGCAAATAGATTAGGAGCCAATTCATTATTAGATATTGTTGTTTTTGGAAGATAAGCAGCAAATTTAGTTGGTGAAAAATGGAAACCAGGATAGAAACAACCAGATTTACCTAAGAATGCTGGTGAAGCTGCTATTGCAAGAATTGATAGACTTAGACATCATGAAGGATCATAAACAATTGCTTAAGTTAGAAAAGATTTATAAAGAACTATGTAGAAACATGCAGCTGTTTTCAGAATTGAAAAGACTTTATAAGAAGGTGTAGAAAAAGTTAAGGAAATTTATTCAAGAAAAGATGATGTTAGAATTAAAGATAAAGGATTAGTTTGGAATTCTGATCTTATTGAAGGATTAGAATTAGAGAATTTATTATGTATTTATTAATTTATACATTACTTTAGTATAAGGAAAAATGACTATTGAAGGAGCTCTGAATAGAAAAGAATCTAGAGGTGCTCATGCTAGAGATGATTTTCCTGATAGAGATGATAAAAATTGGATGAAACACACTCTTGCTAGAATTCAAGATACTAAATCAGGAGATGTTTAATTGACTTATAGAGATGTATAATTATTCATTAATATAATAATAGGTCATTACAAAAACTATGGATCCTAATGAATTTGACACTGTACCACCTAAGAAGAGAGTCTATTGATAATTATAATAATAAAATATATATAATACAAAATTTATGACAGACGTTGAGATTACACCAAAACTTTTGAAATTTTAAAAAATTGGATAAGAAAAGACAGTATAAAAATATATAATTATTAGATTACTATTAAGAACAATAGGAAGGTTGTGCTTAATTTTGCATTCAGACTTTTCAAAAATTATGAAATAGCTCCAACTGCAGTTTAACTTCTTCCAGGAGAGGCAACTGTAGTAACAGTTAAATTAAAGAATGTTGAAGCTCAAGAGGACTTTATTTACATAAGAGGAGATAATTTAGATTGCAGAATAACAGTTACTTTTGAATGTGATTCTGACCGTTTGGATTAATATATTGATTAAGATATCCAAAATAGGACAATTACATCACCAGAATTTGGAAATTTAGAGACATTTGGTAATGTTAGAAGTGAATAGTTTAATGCTGAAGAAAATAAAATACTTCAATAAAGAATCAATTATCTAACTTAATAAAACCAGTTACTTAATGATGCTTTAGAATAATTTATGAATTAAGAGATGGATGGTAATTCCATCAAAGACTTATTAAATCATTTAATAGAATAAGAAAGATAAGAAAATGAATTTAGAAGTCAAAGAGTTTTATTAATGATAGAGGAAAAAGATAGAGAAATAGAGGATTTAAGATTGCAATTATAAAAGCATCAATTTAACAGTAATACAAAAGATTAACTCAAAGAATTAGTAAAAGAAAATGAGAAGTTATAAATGAAAATCTAAGACTATCAAGCTAGAGAGTAATATTTCAATTAACATTAACCTGAAAGAGAGAGTTATGTGATGTTGTATCGTAAATATGAATCAATACTTGATCAAAATAAAAAATTAGAATCAATAAATAGATAAATGAATGAAGAAATTGAAGTTATAGCTAAAAGATTAAATGATAGTGGATTATAGAATTCAAATATTAGAGTTGAAGAAACAAGAGATGAATTAGTAAATAGATTAAATGCTCGTATCACATAACTTAAATTAAGAGAAGAAAAATTACTTGAAGAAAATGCTCATTTAGAAGAAATGCTTATACAATAATAAGGATCAAGTTAAAATTTTTCATCAAATTAATCTAAAAATCTAACAGATGATCTTTTAAAAAAAGAGTATTAAATATTAGAAAAGTCAAAGAAAGAGTTAGAAAAAAAATGTAATGATACTATATCCAAATCTTAAATACTAGAAAAGTAAGTAGATGAATAAACTAAATAAGCTGGATATTTAGGTGATGAATTATGGAAAACTCAAAGAGAAAATGAAAAATTAAAATAAGAAATAAAAAAATTAAAAGAATAAGATGAATTAATTAAAAAAGAAAGATTAGAATATGAATCTTAGATATATGCACTAGAATAAACACTTAAATAAGCTAATAGTTTATAGGATGTAAAAGAAGAAGCTAGAAAAAGATGGGAAAAAGAATTAGGTAAAATGTAAAGTAGTTATGAAAATGAAATTGCGGCTTATTAAGATGACGCATAAAAATTAAAGAAAATTATAAATGATCTAAAAAAAGAAAATGAACTTACAAATACTCAACTAAAAGAAACATAATTTAAATTAGATTAAAAAATATAATAATTATCTTAATATGAAGAATAAATGTAAGAATTATAATTTAAAAATCAAAAACTTTAAAAAGTTAATCAATAAAATTAAATTGATATTGAAAAAACAAAAAGTGAATTTATTATTCTTAAAGAAAAAACAGATGTCGAATTTTAAAGAAGAGATAATCTTGAAAAATAACTTTAAGATAGATAATTATGTCTATAAGATTAAATTAATAATATTATGAAAGAGAAATCAATTACATAAAGTGAATTGCAATTAGAAATGAATAAACTATGTTAATAACATAAAGCATCTATTGATTAATTATTGATGGATAACAAATCATTAGAATAACAGTATTTATAAGCACAAGATCAACTAAAAATATAAAGAGATTAATACGCTTAAAGAGAAGATGCTTTAATTAGAGAAGTTAGAAGTATGTAAGAAAAAATTGAAAAATTAGTTTAAAATTAAAAGTAGAAAGAAAAATAGAGAAGAAACAGTAAAAGTAGCAATTCTTCAATAGATAAAACAGTAGTGCCAAATCTTAATAATATATAAGAAGAAAGAAAATTATCTGATTTATATATGTAGAAAATTAGAGAATTAGAATCAGAGTTAAACAAAACTAGACAATAAAAAATGTAAATTGAATATGATTTTAATCAACTAAAAGCAAAAAGTTCATTTTTGTAATAAGGACAGGCAAAAGACTTTTTAGGATAATAGTCACCTGTTCTTGTTGATGATCTCAATGAACTCAAAGAAACCATGATTGAAATGAGATTAGAGAGAGACAAAATAATTAATTAACTTTAAGAAAAGGATAATTAAATTGAAAACCTTAGTTAATAATTACAAGATTATGCTTAACTTGTGTAATAATAACAAGGAAATCTTGAATAGATGGAAGTAAAATTAAGTTATATTAATGATGATTTCAAAAAAACCCTTGAATAAAAGAATTCAGAATTACATAAACTTAAATTAGAACTTAATATAAGAGAGGAATAGAATTAAGTGTATTAAGAATAGACTAAATTATTAACAAATGAGAGAAGAGAGATCAATGAGAAGTATTATATATAAAATTTTGAAATTGAAGAAATGAAAACCAATTATTAAGAGATTGAAACATCAAGAAAACAATTAATATAAGAACTAAGATAAAAGATAGATGTATTAATTAAAGATAATTAAGAAAATGCTGAAATTATTCAAAAGATTAATATTGATATAGTTAATCAGAAAGAAATATATGAAGAAATTATAGAAAGATAAAATAATACAATAGAATTAATTAGTGAAAAGTTTAATTAAGATATGTAAGAATTATAATGTAGATAAAATTAATATTTTAATTAGAATGATGCTTATAAAAAGAGTTTAAATCCTATAAAAGAATAATAATGGTTTAAAGAATTAATACAATCATATCATGATAATGTTGTCTAACTTGCATAAAATATGTAGAAATAAAAATAAAATAATGATAAAAATAAATAACTATAATAGACAATTAACCAATAAAAATAATAAATAAAAGACTTATCTGATAAATTTACTGTTCTTTAAACAGAAAATTAAAATTTAACTAAAAAGCTTGAAAAACATAAACCTAAAATTCCAAGTCTCAAAAAACCATCTTCATCAAAATAATCTTAACAAGATAAATAGAAATTAGAAGAATAAGTGCCAATTACATTGTTATTATAATAAGGTAAGGTGGCTGAAGTTGAATCTAAATCTAATCAATATAAAATTCAATTAAAATTAGCTGAATAAAAAATTGATCAATTAAAATAAGCTAATTTAATTTATGAATAAGAATTCAAAAAAATTAATTAATAAAATTCACATTTATAAGATTTACTTAAAAATAGAGATTAAACTATTTAAGAACTATAAAAATAATACAAGTAAGAAAATTAAAAAATAATTAATGAATTAAATCAAGTTTAAAATAAATTTGTACCTGAAGATAAAGTTTAGGCACTTAATGAAGTTATTACTCAAAAAGAATAATTAATTAATTAATTAAAAGATGAAATATAAAGAAAAAAAGATGTTGCTGATTAATTTAGAGGAGATAGAGNAACAAGGAAATCTTGAATAGATGGAAGTAAAATTAAGTTATATTAATGATGATTTCAAAAAAACCCTTGAATAAAAGAATTCAGAATTACATAAACTTAAATTAGAACTTAATATAAGAGAGGAATAGAATTAAGTGTATTAAGAATAGACTAAATTATTAACAAATGAGAGAAGAGAGATCAATGAGAAGTATTATATATAAAATTTTGAAATTGAAGAAATGAAAACCAATTATTAAGAGATTGAAACATCAAGAAAACAATTAATATAAGAACTAAGATAAAAGATAGATGTATTAATTAAAGATAATTAAGAAAATGCTGAAATTATTCAAAAGATTAATATTGATATAGTTAATCAGAAAGAAATATATGAAGAAATTATAGAAAGATAAAATAATACAATAGAATTAATTAGTGAAAAGTTTAATTAAGATATGTAAGAATTATAATGTAGATAAAATTAATATTTTAATTAGAATGATGCTTATAAAAAGAGTTTAAATCCTATAAAAGAATAATAATGGTTTAAAGAATTAATACAATCATATCATGATAATGTTGTCTAACTTGCATAAAATATGTAGAAATAAAAATAAAATAATGATAAAAATAAATAACTATAATAGACAATTAACCAATAAAAATAATAAATAAAAGACTTATCTGATAAATTTACTGTTCTTTAAACAGAAAATTAAAATTTAACTAAAAAGCTTGAAAAACATAAACCTAAAATTCCAAGTCTCAAAAAACCATCTTCATCAAAATAATCTTAACAAGATAAATAGAAATTAGAAGAATAAGTGCCAATTACATTGTTATTATAATAAGGTAAGGTGGCTGAAGTTGAATCTAAATCTAATCAATATAAAATTCAATTAAAATTAGCTGAATAAAAAATTGATCAATTAAAATAAGCTAATTTAATTTATGAATAAGAATTCAAAAAAATTAATTAATAAAATTCACATTTATAAGATTTACTTAAAAATAGAGATTAAACTATTTAAGAACTATAAAAATAATACAAGTAAGAAAATTAAAAAATAATTAATGAATTAAATCAAGTTTAAAATAAATTTGTACCTGAAGATAAAGTTTAGGCACTTAATGAAGTTATTACTCAAAAAGAATAATTAATTAATTAATTAAAAGATGAAATATAAAGAAAAAAAGATGTTGCTGATTAATTTAGAGGAGATAGAGAAGATCAAAAATAAATTGTTGAAAAGATAAAAAAATAAAATGAGGATTTATTAACAGAAAATGAAAAATTAAAAAGAATAAATAAAGATAATGAAAGATAAAATAGCAATTTCAAAGAGTTCAAAGAGAAATATGATTAGATGAAAGTTTAAGAGAAATAAATTTAAGATGAAATTAAAAACATTTAAGAAAAAAATAAACAACTTAAGCAAGATAATACAAGGAAGGATGCTAATATAAAAGAATTAAAAGAAAAAATAGATTAGCTTTAAAATTAGAAACCAAATGATTCTGAAAAATAAGATTTAATATAATAGATTAAGAAGCTAAAAGATGAAGTTAATAGAAAAGACTAAGCTATAAAGCACTTTAGATAAAAGTTTGAAGAAAAATCTAATGAATTTGAAATTTATAAAAATGATTATGCATCTAAATATGCATAGACAGTATCAGAATTAGGTAATATATATATATATTTATATTTTTAGAAAAAGAAATGAGAAAAAATGAATAAGGAAAAATTGGAAACAAAAAGTATGAGAATTAAGTTAATATGTTGATATTCTTGTTAAAACGTATATATAGAGAGAATTATATGGAATTAAATAAAGGTAACCAAGCAAAAGTTGGTGTAAAGGCAGAAAATAAACCTAAGAATATAGCTAAATTTTCAGAGTCTATGAACATTCTAAACTTGGGTCCTGAAGATCTTGAAGAATTTTTAGAGCCAAACATTTCAGTAAGCACAATTAAGAAATCAAATAATAAAGATTTGGATAGATTTGAAACTTTATTTATGAATCCTGAACAATTAGATGTAAACTAAATATTTAATATGATTAACAATGTAATTACTGAAAGAATTAATTGTGGTTGAATAGAATGAATTACTTAAAATTAGTTAAAATTATAATTTATTTATTCCTTTTCTTTTTATATTAATATTAATAGAGCAATCAATATTTATTTATACTTCAATATATTAAATTTTAAAAGCATACTGTAATAAATTATTTTGATTTGATTAATAAGTTTTTTAACTTCAAAATTTCATATAACTTGTAAAACTTTAATTAGTTATATGAAATTTGAATTTAAAAAAATATGTTTTTATCAATAGAATACTTGTTAAAGTGAATAGATTGAAATGTTATTTTGTTTATTTGATATATTAATTATTAAAGAATTTTGGAGATAGAAACTAAATTGAATATTAAGTTAATATTTAAAGTTTCAGTACATTTTATTAATATTTATAAATACTATTTTTGTATAAGCTTGAAAGATATCATTCTTATTAAGTAGGTTTTGGAATTTTCATATAGTTTTGAAATTCTTTCTATCATAAAAGAACATATATTTTTACATTACTCTCTTCTTAAATTATATTTATTTATAAATGATAAAAACTTTTAGTCTAACTTTCAATTCTATAGAAATGGAAGATGCTTATAAAGAATGGTATTTCTAAAAGAATTAGAAAAGATATTAACTATTAATCTGTTTTATTATTGTTTATTTAGCAGTAATGATTACTTAGTTTAACAGTACAAGAACTTTATTACCTCTGATAATATCGTGTATAATACTAAGTTTAGAAATTACACTTTTATTCTTCCTTAGGAAATACCATGAAAGAGTGGAAATTATTATTACTATCAACTAAATATTTTTGTGTTTAATTTGTGAATTCTATAGATTATTTGGTGATTAAGCCAATCAATGGCACATAGGTTATAGTTTGGCATGTATAAAATTATGTAATTTTAAATTTTAAATTAGTAATTTATGTTAGAGGTAATAAATTTATTATGTAAACTGGTCTTTAGATCCTTTGTTAATGTTGTTCATTTATTTAAATGAATAATGTTCAAATTTATGATATTATCACACATAATTTAATAACTCTACTAATGATTGCCATAAGATATTCAATAGAATCTAGTAGTAGGTAATATTTCATAGCTCATCAATCATAAATTTAATATGAAAATATAATTTAAGATTTACTTCCATCTTGGGTTGTTATTGTGAAATTTGATAAAACTTAAGGATAATTAAGTCTAGATAAAATAAATAACAATATGAAAGTTAAATTAGACATTTAAGATGATAAATGTTTTCGAGATTTTTTAAGAAAAATGAAAGCAATACCATATGAATCAGATAGATCAAGTTTTCAATATATAAAGTTAGAGCATAGACTTATTAGATTATTACAATAGTAAAATGATGAACATGCAGTTGAGAGATACTATGCTGAAATAGATAAAAATGATAGCAAAATAAAATAATTAAAATTCAAGATAACCCAAGTTTATTTTAAAACATTTGATCCTTCTGTAATTTTATTATTTGAAGAATTAAAAGAAGATAAATTTGAATCCTTAATTTAATAAATAGAATAAAGAGACTAATCTTCATCAACTTATGCCAGAATATCAATTTAGATTTTAACTTAGTAAATTTAATTATTAAAGTATATCAAAATATGCTTTTCGAATTTAAAAATATATTAATGTCCAACTAATTTGTTAAACTGTATTAATAATCAGATTCAAAAGGGATATAATATATTCAATCTAAACTTTGATATATTAAATTAATTTAAAATTTCGCATAGGTAAATTAAATTCGAAGCAACTGAAATTTAACCATTATTGCTTGTTGAATAGTTATGTGAAGATTTGCTATTGACAAAAGCATAAATTAATCCTAAAAAAAGATAAATATAAATATCTGATATAATTAAAACTGATAGAGCAAAGTTAATTTCAATAATTATCAATTTGGTTGAATATATTAAAATATTAATGTCGATAATCTATGGAGATGAAAAAATCTTAAGTTAAAGTGCTCCATATGGATTTTAGATATAAATATCTTTAAAATTTTCTAAGAATCATCCAAATTGCATAAAATTTGGATTGTTTCATCCTAAATTGCTCATCCCAGCTTCTGTTTAGGAATTATTTTATAATATTGAAACATCAATTCATCATAAAAAAAGAAATTGGAATTCGAAAAACTATTTTGGAATGATAAATCAATTAACTCATGCATATTCATAAATTTTTGAAGTTTATAGGAAAGAAAATTACAAATCTACAAGTTTATTGGATGATGATTTATTTCCACATATTTAAAAATAAAGCATTTGTTAAAGTTAAGAATCAAGAATACTTACTGTGTAAAATCATATACCATAATAATTTTAATTTAATATATTAGGATATCCTATGGCTTAGTATTTAATAAGTTAATTGGGACCATGTAATAAATTACAATTTAAGAATAGATTTATAAATTACACAGGAGTGACTAATTTTTATATGAATTCTTAATAAACTAAACTATCTTTTCTAATTTATTAAGATTTAGATGAATTTATATAAGAATTAAATCAATAAGAGAAACCTATTTTTGAATTATGCTAAAAAAAAAAGATTTTTAATCATGATACAGCTGTTGTATGATTTTATATAAGTTCTTAGAAATATTATCCTTGTTCTCAATTTGGATCCATTTAAGGAAGATTTTGAGTATTTTAATTCTTTTTAAAACTCTTAAATTGTATAAAAAAATAATATTAGATATTAGAAATAATATAGATATTTATTCTTAATATTTTATCTGCTTTTTTGAACTATTATTTATAAGTTGTTAGATAATATAATAAATCTAACATTTATTTTTTGAAAAAGATGTAGAGAGAAAAATAAAATCATTATTTTTTATTATTAAATTGATTTAATATGTAAGAATAAGAAAAATAGGGAATTGATGATGCTTTATTAATGGGCAATTAAAAGAGAGGTATTGATTATTATTTAGAACAATTAAAATTAACTACCTTTCAAGTTCTATTTGTTATTCGTAATAGTGAAGATGAAGAAGAGGGAATGTTTGGATTCTATTTTTTTAATGCTCTTGATTATTTTCAAATGCATCAATTTCCATTTTATGTAACAATCTATTACCTTTGGAAATAAGACACTTTTATGGAATTTATCACTCAAGTATAAAACTTATTTCAAATAAGCAATTACATTCCAAGTTTAACTTATGAATCTCTTTTAATGACTGTATACATATTGTTATTCTTTATTTTGTTGATCATTCTAGACATTATTTATGTTTCATATTCATTTTCTCGTAATCGATTTTATTGGCTTTGGCCACTATTATTATTAAAGAAGATTACTTCTTTTGTTGTAACTGTAGGATTTTTACCTATTACAGAGACCTTAACATCTATTTTATAATGTTATGTAGATCCAGATACAGGAAAATATATCATATATGGTTACAATAATATTTTTGTTGAATGTTGGCAAGATTGGCACACATTTCATGCAGTTTTAGATCTTACATTCATTATATTTTTTTCAATAATTTGCAGTATTGTTGCATATGCCTTTTTTGAACCAGCTATGAATACTAATGATAGATCTGCAAGATAGGATTCAAATGGAGAAGTAGCATTTATTACAAATAAAATTACTTGTTAATTGATGTTTAGTTTGCTTAGACCAAATTATCCTGAATAAGCATGGATTATGGTTATAACATCTTTTATTTTATCACTATGGTTATTTAAACAATATAATTTTAATGATCCCTACTACGATTTTTAAGTAGGATTATTTTATTGTATATGCAGTACACTTTATTTATGGGCTTGTTTTATGTTATTAGTTTGTAAAGTATTAGAATCAACTGATTTTACTGGAGGATTTATAGCCTGGTTGATTGGTGTACCATTTATAATTAGTATAATGTTATTAACTAAGAAATCTAAAATTGAAACTCTTGTTAAATCTTAAACAAAATTTAGAAGTGGAGAGTAAATTTGGAGTCATATTAGATATGTATTACAACTTATATAAAATTAAGATAAAGATAGAAATTCTTATATGTTACTTGTTGGTTATATAGAAAAACATAAAGAAACTTGTAATTATGATGATTGTCCTTTAAAAACTAAATTAAAATAAAGAAAGAAGGGAGGTTAAAATGATATCGATGAAATAATAAGAGGATTAATATAAGAATTAGATAGGATGTTTGTATAAGGTTTAAAAAAGTTTCCAAATTCAACTTATTTAAGAATATTTTATGCTTTATTTTTGATAGAAAGAAGAAATAATAAATAGAAAGCTTTAGAATAATTTGAACTTGCTCAATATACAAAACCAGCTCTTTATTAGGAGTTTATCATCTATCGATATAAAAAAGATATTAGAAGTAAGGGAATGAATTCTTAATAAGGAGAAGATGATGATATTGTTAATGCAATAGCATTTAAAAATTATTTATCTTTATGTGAAGAGAAAATGAAATTTTCTGCAAATTTACATAAGGAATTTTGGATAGAATTAAAGGAAGATCAACCTGATTTAGGTAGATTAATGAATATTGGTGCTAGAATTAGTAGAGTAACTAATGAAGCAAGAGAGAATTATGAAAACATGTAGAAAATAAATTCAAATATGCCATATACTATGTAAGTATTTGGTAATTTTATGATACATGTAATGAATGATTCGAAGGGAGGAATTAATTTATTAAATAAAGCACAATAATTGAAAGAACATTTAAGAAAAAATTAATAAATACATAAAGATATTTTTAATTTTGAAACTGATTAAATCCCATTCATTTATGTAAGTGCTAAAAAATCAGATACAGGTAATATATTATAAATGAATTCATTATTTACAGCTTATTTTGGATATACTAAAGAAGAAATAGTTGGAAAGAAGATAAATATTCTAATGCCTTAAAAGTATGCAGAAAATCATGATAAATATATGAGTAACTTTTTTGATAATTTTGTACTTAATTTAAGATAAGAAGTAGGAATAGAAAGTGAATATTTAGATGTTGATTAAAATAGATTATTTAAACATAAAAATGGATATCTATTTCCATTAACATATTAAGTTACTTTACATTTAGATTCTCTTATATATATTGCAACATTCAAATCAGAAGCTACACTAAGAACTTAAATCTATTTTGTTGTTGATAAATCATCTTAGATTCTAGAAATGTCATCTAGTGCTATAACCTTTTTTGAATTAGAAATTAAAAATTTAGGAGATAGAATAAAATTGAATGATTTTATACCAGATATATTAACTAAGAATGCCAAAGATGTATTCTCTAAAATTCCAAAAAAAGATGGATTTTATTATTTTAATTGTTAGGTAAAAGAAATCATTTTGCCATTCCACAATCCAAATGATAGTGATGAAGAATAAAAGAAAAGTGAACGTACTGGATGTTATATAATTCGTCTAGATAAAATTGAAAAAAATGAAGCTAATCTTAAATATATGATAAAAAAAGGAGCATAAAATACTGGTAGTGTTAGCAATCCAGATTCAGAATTAATTTTAAAAGCTACTTCTTAATAAAAAATATCAAATTTGGTTAATATGAGTTAAGAGAGTTAAATTCCTTTAAGAAATTAAGATTGTTAAGATGTAGATCTTAATTTATTTAGTTATATGCAAGAATTATATGAAAACCCATAAGTAGATGAAATTAAAGATCTATTTAAATAATGTAATGCTGAAACTGAGAGTATTCCTTCAATTGATTTAGCTGGAAATATTATCACCAAAAGATATATTAATGGATAAATTGTTAGTATTAATGAAGAATAGGAATAATTATTTTTATAAATTTTAGAAGAAGAAGAAGAGGATAATTCATTATTTAGAAATTAAGGAAATAATTTTGAAGATGAAGATGATTATAAATTATTTACTTATAATAATTCTGCTAATTTGATTTAAATTGCTTTAAGGACTCATCATAGACATCCTGAAATTACAATTTTTAAGATTTATTCATCTTTATGGATAGTATTCATATTGGCTATGACTAGTTTATAATAATACTTTTGTTCTGAATAATTTCATAATTATAGAATAGATGTAGATGTCTTATAATTAATAAATAATTAATTGATTGAAATTAATAGATTAACTTCTAGAGTGTTAGATTTAGCTGTTTATTCAGCTAATCTCTATACATATAATACTACTGAAATAGCAAATGATATATCAATATCAGCTACATCTGTTATTGATTTCAATTCTGCTATGAATTCTATAGATTATTTAAATTTCTAGTAATAATTTTAAGATGAATTATCATTTAGATTTTATAAAGATAATGGTTATTATGATGATTCTTTAAGACTAGAAACTGCATTAGTAGTTTTTTGTTCATTAGCTTTAAATTCTTCAGTAACCAACTATTAATCTATTACTTTTGATAATATTTATTATTAAGGTGTGATCCATAATTATTTTGATGTACTTTATCAAAAAATATGCGATATTTCTAGTTCTACTTATGATAATATTAAAGATATAATGGATAATCCATAAGTAAATTTATTAATCTTATTATCTGCATCAATATTTGTATCAGTAATGGCTATGATCAAATTTATATTTCTTATGTTTGCTATCAAAACTCAAAGAGAAAATATTCTATTTCTATTTTTGGATATTCCAACCTACCATTTAGATGTTCTTTATAAGAAATGTGACAGATTCCTTAAAAACTATGTAAGTATAGAAGAATTATAAAATAAATAAGAATAATAAGGTTTTGAGAGTTCAGAAGATGAAAAAGAACTTTAAGAAGAAAAAATTGAAGTTTTAAAATCACCAGATGAGGATGAATCTGATATTCTATTAAGATAAACTTAAAATAGAAAAAAGATTATAAAGAAATATAGATAAAATAGGATTAAAGGAAATTAAGGCATTATAATACAGTATTTATATATAAAATAATCTAGATTTTTTATTATTTCAGTTTTCACTTTAGTTTTCACTGTCTATAATATACTTGGAAGTTAATCTTAATAATCATAAATAAACTTTTTATTGCCTTAATATTATTAAAGTTTATACACCATTAATAATTATGGTTATTACATTAATATTCAAAAATTAATGATGCTTGATTACACAACAAAAATCAAAGGAATTCAAGTTTCTGAGTATGCAATAAAAAATCTCACTATCTTCACAGGAAATGCTGAAAGGATGAGTTAGGTAAATATAATTATGAAATTTATTAGTTTAATTTTGATATTTTATCTGAATTATAAACATTTAGGGATAAATATATCAATATTTATTATGGTAATCTTTGTGAATAAATAATGAAGATTTCTGAAATAGATTAATGTTAACAAATTATCAATTCAAATTTATAATTAGTAATTTATTTATATATAATATCCTACTTTAGGGAATGTACAATACTGAATCTTACTTTTTAGAGTATTTTAGAATTAATATTCAAAATTTTTATAAGAATATTACTTAAAAATCTCTATTATTGAATGCAACTCAATTTTTTGAAATTGATAGAGCTTTATATAACTATGTATATGATGCAATCACTAATATAATCACTTATGAAAGAGATCTTATTTCTAGTGGTATGGATAACATATAAAATATTCAATTAATCTTATTAATAATCTTTATAGTACTTTTAGTGTCCATATTTTTATTAATTTGGATTCCATTTTTGAATGGGTTGAATACTTAAATTAACCAAACTATTGAAATGCTTAATATGATTCCATTGGAAGTAGTTAAAGAGAATAAGAGTATACGTAGATTTGTAAAATCTTTAATAAAATCAATGAATAAATGATTTACTTTAATGAAAAATTGTTTTTTATACCATAAATTATATAATTTATAAATTAAATTAATTGTCAGACTTTTGTAGAAATATTATCTTACTCTAATTTACACTTAAAAATAATTCATAATAATGATAGATAAAGAATGAATAAAGTATATTTCAAAAGATACCATCTTGTGAATTAGCAAAAAATTAATTAATTAGTTTAAACCTTTTGTAAATGTTATTACTCACAATAATAATTTACACCAAAAAATTTAATTGAAATATTTCAAAATTATGATTTTATATTGGATGTTAGTGATAATACTGTTACAAGATATTTAATTAATGATATAGGTTTATTATTTGGATTAGAGGTCAGATTACAGTTAATTGATTGTAAGGATATTTTTATAGATATCTATTTCCATAGTGTCCTAAGACTGTTTAGAATTCAATTGAAGAAAGAGTATTGATAGAATCATTACAAGCAAGAATAATAATTATTGGACAGTAACCTTTGTCATAAAGATAATATTGATAGATGGATTAAGAGATGTCTATAAAATAGTCAAGTAGAGAGGATAACAGAAGTATATAATATTATTTAACAGATAGAAATTATATTTTATGTTAAAAGTAGATTAAGATAAATGAATAAGATAATGCCTCATTTGCATAGATAATATGTATTTCCTCTATTCATTATGGAGGATGATATAAACAGATTGAATGGAAGGATTTTCTATATATTTAAAGAAATTTTAAAGTATTTATATTCTATGTCCTAGTTTATAATATAACATAATTAATTAGAATGAATTCACAAATCTATCATATTCTCAAATTAATTAATTTTAAGTTGAAGAGAATAAGAATAAAGAGATATATACTATGTGCAAAAGAGGTAATAATTGAAGGTTGGCATATGAATATCTAAAGGATAAATTAGACAATATATATAATATTAAAGGAGGGATAGATTTATATACAAAGTTTTATGTTCCGAAAATGCCATTATTAGGATTTTTATTTAAGTATATACATTTATCTGATGATTTAACTAATTTATTTTCAATAAGGAGCACTAAATCCTGGAGGAGGCAATCCAGTATTTGGATCCGTATTTTTTGCTCTTCTAAAGAGAAGAATATGAGGTTCTGGTCTATGAGTTTCATAGTGAGACCATCCTCTAGATTACTAAACTCCTAAGGCTCTCCATTCCATTTCATTTAATAATTTACCTACCATATTCAAATTCAAATTGTACCTTTTGTAATTTTTTTGAAAATATGTTTAGGAAGAATAACATGTCTGTATTCATAGTAGTCATCGAAGTACTTATCAGAATATTCGATTTCTTCTGGATAATGAGGCATTGATATTATTTAAATTTTAAAATAAATATAGTTAATTCATAAATTTTATATTATTGCTTCTATGTCTCAATTTTTACTTCTATAGTAATTTCTCAAATATTTATAATTTTTTTGGGTTAGTAACAACAGAATCATATTAATCTATTAAATTAAATCTATACATATAAAATAGAATAAGGTTTATGATCAAAAATATATATTAAAATATTGTAATTACGTATGTTCAAATAATTTTGGATTTAACATTGTAAATGAATTTATTTATGATCTGATATTGAGTATTAAAAGTGTATGATTAAATTTAAACCATTAAAAAGATATTTTTAATTTTGATATTTATTACTTGTTTATTTCTAAAAAGATAATAATATGCGGAACGACTATATATTGACTATATAAATAAGAATCAAAATATAGTTCTATATTAGTAACAAATTAAGTAAATAAAAATGAATCTTATCTATATTAATGTAATTATAAGTAAGTAAAATTCATAAAAATTGATCAAGAGTAAGATTATGAAAATATTTAATATATTCTAATTATATTTAAGTCTGTATATTATCTAAATGAGATGGATAAGAAATCTTTATTGATTGATAAGAAGTTATTTATGAATAAAATGTCTTTTCAATGCCTTAATGAAATAGTAGAAAATATAAGAGTTTGAGTTAAAAGTTTTTGAAATAAGTTCATATTTTAGTTCTAAATATTAATAATTTAACGATATTGATTTATGTTGAATAAGCAAAACTCAGATAAAGAGAATACTTCATTAAATAATAAAAAAATATCAAAGCCACGAATAATAGGAGATTATTAATTAGGTTTGAATTATTAAATATTAGAGTTAAAACTCTTGGAGTTGGCACATTTGGTTTAGTTAAATTTGGATTACATTAAATAACTGGAGAGAAGGTAGCCATTAAAATTTTGGAAAAGGAAAGAATAATTGAGGTTGCAGATGTTGAAAGAGTTTCAAGAGAAATACATATTTTAAAATTGATTAGACATAGACATGTTATTTAATTATATGATGTAATATTAATATATAAAGTAGATTATAGAAACAAAAAAACACATCTTTTTATTAATGGAATTTTGTGGTAATGGTGAACTCTTTGATTATATTGTAAAGAATGAAAAGTAAATATTCAAAGATAATTTCTTAGATTAGATGAAATAGAAGCTTGTCGCATATTCTAAGAACTAATTTCAGGCATAGAATATATTCACAAACTCAATATAGTTCATAGAGATTTGAAACCTGAAAATTTATTGTTAGATCATTAGAACTAAATAAAGATAGTAGATTTTGGACTATCGAACACTTATAAACAAGGAGAGTTGCTTAAAACTGCTTGTGGAAGTCCTTGTTATGCTGCTCCAGAAATGATAGCTGGTCATAGATACTAAAGTATCTTAGTTGATATTTGGTCATGTGGCGTCATCTTATTTGCTACTATTTGTGGTTAATTGCCATTTGAAGATAAAAACACTAGTGATTTATATAAGAAAATACTTGGTGGTTAATATACATATCTTCTCATGTCTCATAAGATGGTTAATCATTTCTAAAAGGAATATTAAATACAGATCCATCAAAACGGTTTAATCTGGAATAAATTAAATAACATCCTTGGTTTTAGCTATATAAGAGAGTTTAGTCTATTCCTTAAGGAATTATTATTGGATATAGCAGAATTCCAATTGATGATGCAATTGTTGATTAATAAATAATTAAAGGATTTAATTCAGATTATATTAAGAAATGTCTTGATGCAAACAAACATAATAACTTAACTACAGCCTATTTTCTTATATTAAAGAAACATCTCATTAATGGTGGAAAATCAGTTGCTGATATTAATTCAACCAATTTTAATGAAAAACTATTAGAACCTGCAGCTTGCCCTTAAAAACGTAAATTTGTAATTAATTTCTAGCTCCAATTAATAATCTCATAGATAGTCAAATGATGAAAACTTTAACACATAATAGATCTGGTTCTTGCTAAACAAATAATAAATCATCTACTAACAAGAGGACTTTCAGTGCTTCCATCAGATGATACAAGATCAACTAATAATGGATCTAAAAATAACTAAACTTCATTATTATCAATTGATGTAAACTAATCAATATAATATTTAAGGATTAATCATTCTTCTTTGATAGAAAAAAGTCTTAATCTTTTTAATAAACAAACAATAAAAAGATGTCAACTGACATTTAAATGAATGATATATTAAATAAATCTACTTATTTAGCAACTTCTAAAAGATCATCAAATGCATTCACTGCTTCTCCAGCAAATCAGAATAAATTACTAAAGTATCTAAGTATTATTATAAATTATTATAGAATCATCTACAAAAACAGGTACTCCAACAGCTCCTAGGGGTAATTAATAACCTAAAATACCTTAAAATAGTAAGACTACAAAAAATCAAAAGGGTTCATTTATCAATTTTGATTCTTGTTAAGTTAAAGATAAAAAAAAAGAAAATAAATCAATTAATTTAATTGATGCTACTAACAATGATAGTAAAAAAAAATCATTGCATATAGATGGAGTAAATATTCTAATTTTAGACTTTAAGGATCTATCTATGCCAGCCAGCACAAAACCATAATCAATGCCTTATTAACTTTGGTTAAGAATAAATAGTATAAAAGGATCAAGAGATCATAGTGGAGGAGGTTAAAAGTCTAGAAAAGCAAATAGTAATACTACAAAGGCTAACATAAATTAAAGCTTCAATTTTGACAAGCGAGTTTGATTTTTCAATAAATAATTAATTTTATTAAACATTATAAAAATTTATTTCAAGTTATTATAATTAATTTATAAATTCACTTAATCTTGATCAAAATCTGCTTGTGATAAATGTAGAATCTAATTTACCAGAATTATAATTATTTATTTTGAATGGACTACTTTATCTTCCTTTATAGACTTAATGTTCTCCTGAAGGTTTACCTTCTATATATTCTCCAATCTCTCGATTTCCATCTGCATAAATAAATATTCCTTTGCCATCTCTTTTATCATTTTTGTATTCTCCTTCATATGTATTACCATTTGCAAATTTATATATTCCATGCCCTTCCCTTTTATTGTTTACAAAAGTTCCAATATATGTATTTCCATTAGCAAATTTATATTAACCTTTTCCATTAAAAAGTTGATTACTCCATTCCCCTTCATAACAATCACCATTAACAAATTTCTTTTTTCCTTTACCTTCAATTTTATCATTTACAAAGTCTCCAATATAACTAAAATTTAATTAGAATAATACACATTTCCATTAGCAAACTTATATCTTCCTTATCCTTCTCTTTTATCATTTCTGAATTATCCTTCATAGATATCTCCATTAGAATACTTTTATATTCCAAATCCTTCTCTTTTATCATTTACAAATGAACCTTCATAAAATTCTCCACTAACTTATTCATATTTTCCCTTTCCATCTCTTTGTCCATTTTTAAATTCTCCTTTATATCTTTTAATAATGATATTTTTTGTACTTATCTCCATTTGCAAATGTAAATACTCCTTAACCATGTATTATATTATTTTTGAATTCTCCCTCATATAAGTTACCATTTTCATATCTTAAAATACCTTTTCCTTCTTTATCTCCATTTACAAAGTCTCCTTCATAAATATCCCCATTATTATATGTATACTTCCCTTTTCCATAAATAGAATGATTTCTCCAATCCCCTTCATATTAATCACCGTTTGCAAATTTCATAGAACCTTATCCATCAATTGTATTATTTTTAAGATCTCCCTCATAACTAAATATAATAAATTCTATTTTACATATTTCCATAGCTAAATCTATAAGTACCTCTTCCTTAGATTCTACTTCTTCTAAATTAACCTTAAACTGTATCTCCATTAAATGCAATACATTTTCCTTCTCCTTCTAGCATATCATCCTTAAAACAACCTTACATTATCTTTTTTTATCCATTTTCCTCGAATGTGTACTAACCCCAAACTATATGATTGTGTTTCCAATAACCTTACCAAATTGCTTAACCTCTTATACAAACTCCAAATCCATGTTTCATTTATTATAATACTTCTCCAAAGTATATTCCATCTTATTCATTTAATTTATCAACTTCTTTGCTCCTTAAAAATAGATACTCAACTGGTGGTTTATGTATTTAATTTTATAAAAAGAACTGTACCATCGTTTAATCACGAACATGTTCTTCTAACATGCATTTTAAACTAGATAATCCTAAAACCTTTTCAAATTATTTTCCTGTTTCTTTAATTTATGGTAGATTCCATCTTTACTCTAGTAGATTAATGGTTTCATTTAGTTTTTACACTTTCTCATAATCAAAGAATGTTAGTAATTGTTCATTAATAATTTTGAATCCTCCATTGTATAAAGTATTGTATGATTATTCTAATTGCTCAACATACTCAAGTAAGGTTGTAATATCTTTAATGAAGTACTATTCTAATTTTTCTATCAAATAGAGACTATATAAGTTGGATATATTACAGTTGTTGTTTTTCTTATTGGAAATTAACAATCTTTTAAGCAATTTGATCTCTGGGATTGGTTTCACAAAATAGTTTATATGAGAATTGACATTTTTCAACTAAGTCATCTTTTTGATTCGAGAAGTACTCACTTGGAGATGATAGGAATGACTATTGGATATCTTCACATTCCGTATTTAGTTTCACTATTGATTAATCCATTATATTATAAATAAGCAAGATATTTCTAAGGGGGTGAAGAATTACTAATAATGGAAATTCAAATTAATTATATATACTAAAATTATATTGTATTTTAGAATAAAAAAATGACACAATAAATTACACATTATTTCAGTTTAACAGGTTCCCTCCTTGTTCATATGTTAACCTTTTAAATTTAACATTATTAAGATTAGATCATCTCTATATAAGATTAAATATTTATGTATAGAGACTTGATCTAAGACAATAGAGAATTAAAAAAT